AGTGGTTTTTATATAGTTGATGTGATGCATGTTTGTACATACTTCTATAGTATGTACATAAGACCATACTTTTGCTATTAATGGACACCTTCAAACGAATACCTAATGTCCAACTTCCGTCACCAAAAGTACACTTAACTTTTTAGGCGTTGCTAGGGTTTCTTTTGAGATTTTCCTCAGTTTTTTATTTAGTACATATTTCGTTGCCAGTAACGCCCATTAATTTGCACCTCCACTCTGTTCTACATACCTATTTATATAAAACGAGTATGGTAGTATTTTAGTTATATGTACGTAATGTGCAAGGAGTCGACCTCTGCCAAAAATATATTATATAATATTACAAAAGCTTCATCAAGTTTTGTTTCGCTTCTTATTACATACTTTTAAGTAGGCTTAATTTTTTGTTTCCATAGGGTTTTAGTTATTTTCCACGAAAATATATTTCAGTGTTTGAGTTTCAATGTATTATACTCGTACATAACATTAAGTGCATATGATATCAAAACCCAGCCCAATTGAAATGTACTGGTATATGCAGGTCAATAGGGGATTTTTCATTCGTAACTGATGATATTCCGGAAATAGATTGAAGCCGACGATATCTATATGAGAAGTCCTATACGCACTGCGTGACAAGCTGGAATGTGCGCGATAAATACACATACATGTACCAAGTAAAGGTCAGCCACATGATTGAAAACATTTCCCCATTGCAAAAAGACACGATTGTTCCACGGTGGGAAGGTGGGAAGCAGTTGACATCACTTATGTGTTGAATACTCGAAGTAATACAACCCGATCGCTGTATGCACATTATATCTGTTGATGCAAAGCTACTGCATTTTTGACTATTATTTTTTCATATACTGATAATTGTCTTAAGCATAAAATGCAAACGAAACTAATTAATAATCAATCATACATAGCCACCATTTTTTATTGGCTTTAAAACTAGTTTTGACAGCAGGAAAACAAATGTTTTTCAAAATGGAGAATATACTTAAATCAGCAAAACGAAAATAGTATGTTACAGTTTTTATAGGGACTCTGGATGGCTTCAATATAAATGTTCTAAACATGAACGAAAAATTATTATTTACAAATTTTAAGTGTTAAACTATAATCAATATAGTTGCCAAAAATCAGTGAGATTTTATATCCCGATGTATTATGTTTCCATCAAAACATAAATTAATCAAAATAAGGAAAACTTGTAAACAATGCATAAATGAAGCATAAACAAATTTCAAACCTAAAGCAGAGAATGTAGATGCTGGTCCGTAGTTGGACCTTCTCTATATTTTACATTCTCTGCCTAAAGTTTGCAAAAACAAAACTGATAAGTCAATGGATTAAGTCAATTTTTTGGCAACTTTTGCTGTTTGACAAAACAGTGAGCCTGTAAAAAATTTGAACATATTGTATGTAATATTCATGTACATAAATGTACGCTATTTATAATACTCTCGCAACATGTTGAAACAGAGTATAGTTGCAAAACTGAAAATTTTGTGTTAGTTAATAGTGTTCCTTTGCTTCAAAAACGGTCCGTTTGAGTCAATACTTCCTTTAACCCTCATATAGATCATATTTCTGAACTTCAAGTTGACTTTATACTGCATATATTGGTCAATATGTGATTTATCTCAATGAAATTCAGAGAGGATAATTTTCTGGTAATAGTGTGTGTTGATAAAAATTTATCAAATCGTGTCAATACTACTCCAAAGTCCCGAAAATCCGATACAGAAACTTCCGACTGGCTTTACACCGTACAAATTTATTGGCTAATATGAAAAATATCTTAGCTTAAATCAAAGCCTAATGTTGGATATGCTACAGCTTAATTCCGAAAATGTGTGAAGTCGGTTCACGTATTACCCCAGTTTCCATTAACATTAAATAATGATTTTTGTTATTCTAGCAGACTTTATGTCGAATAAATAGTTCAGTGTGCGAGTAATCTTCATAAAATTTCGTGGAAACATGTTTTCGAGTAATGGCAAAAATTAATGCAATCAGGCAAGATCGTCCCCTTGCCCCAATATATTAGATATAGTGATTTCCGACTTCCCAGCAGATTTTAAATCGTTTATGTAGATAAATATGTGAGATATTTGAAAGAAATTAAGCAGAGATGTTTTCTTAAACGAAATGTGGTTTCGCGTTTAGCATGACTGAAATTGGTCTAGACCTTGGTCTAAGCCGCATAGCCTAATAAAGAGGTTTCCGATTCTCTGGTTGACTTTTTCCTCTTTTATGTAGTCAACTGTAAAACTGTAGAGCTATCATCTTTAAACAATTTTTTATATCTAACACTTTTGTAATATACATATGTATGAACATACGTGCGTTTTTCTTTTCAAATTGCATTCAATCATGAGCTGTGTATTACGTACAAAATAAGTTTGATTGTTTCAAGCGAGTAAACACTTCGTGTTGAGCAAGGAAATTTGATACGAATTCTCAGGTAATAAAACCTTAACACGCACTCATCAAAAAGTCTACGAAAAGGAACAAAACTGCGAATTGCTATAATTTAGAGACTTTTCTATTGCAAGCTACAAAAAAATTAAATTTCGGATGACCAACGTGTTAACTTCAGAGTGGTCATGCGAACATTTTTAACCAAATGTTCTTCTTGATTTCCTCATTTAATTTTCAAAAATAAGTAAAGTCGAATTGCTTGGGAATATTCATCAAATTTAACCAAATTACTTTTAGCTAAGCGCAATAAAACAAACAGCAAACTGCGAAAGTCAGTCAGTCGTTTATCTAATTAACTTTTTGAACACCCATAAAATGTGGATGTGTTCACATTACTAAAACAAGATTACACAAAAAATCTCAAATGTAATGTATGATTGCCTTAAGGAATGTTCAGGAATAAAGTCAACCAACTGCTGAATCGGGAGTAAGGTATATGGCAGGTTTGGCGGCGAGAAATTACAGGATAAGCGAATTATTCAACGCATGGTATATTACACTTTCACCTAATATTGCAAAGTATAAGTTTTGCACATCAAGTAAGTTTTTTTACTAAGATAAAATAAAATATATAGGAATTACGACTTACCTACATGTGTAACTTTGCTATAGATATGTATATACAGTACTAGTTATTGGACAATCATAGAGCATTCACTAAAAAGTTTTGAGGATAAGTACTTGACTAAAAATATTCATAATATTTATCTCATCTCATAGGTCACGTACTATTAGAAAAATAATAAAGATTACTGGTAGAAAAAGTAGTAACAAAAATCCCGTTTGAATGACATCAGTTTTCATTAAGGTGGCCGAGAATTATAGTTCAACAAAGACCAAATAATAAACCAGAGGCGCAACGAAAAAAAAACTTCGTGAATTAAAAATATCAATTTTATTAAGATTTTGATAATAAAGGGTATGTAATGTTTCCGAGTTTTGAATATAATTTTTGTATATAAGACACACTCCGTTCTACAATCGGCGAAAGTAGCGATCAGTATCGACAATATCAAATTTAATCTGCCATCTACACGTGTATACACGTATGTATACACATATGTATGTAGTTGTGGTGGTTGTAATCTCACTTCGCCCAAACGGGATATGATGAACCACATATAGTAAAAGAGTGACGAATATTTTATTAAATATGAACTTTCATTTAAAAATAGCGGTAACAATCACATTGTCAGAAATTTATTTGATCCTCATGCGGATGTACTGTATAATCGTAACCTTCAAATTTGACCTCTTTAGTGTTTTAATTTGAACAATTATCGTAATGTTTCCATTTTGGCCAAAAAAACTTTAGTAGTTTAAGAGATATTTACATATTCATTCAGTGTTCTATACGCTTAATAAGATATGTATGTTTAGTTCGTCTTCCATTTATGATCTTAATGTAAATGTATTTCTGTACATATACATATATGAAAATATAATTATGTGTGTACAGCGGAAGAACTTCCTTTCAAGTTGATCACACAAACTACTTGTCAAAATTGATTTTACTTACCTTACCTAGGCTGCAAGCAATAATAGTTTCAAATTGCCGTTGTCATGGAAACCGCTTAAAATTCTTGAAAATGTTGCTCGAAATTTATAATAAAATGGATTGATATACTTATAAATTGATATCAATCCATTAATATAACGAAATATTCATATTCCCAACAATTGCATGCCATTTCTTTGCAAAACTATGTGATCCACTGTTCGAACTTGTTTGTCAACTTGCTACTCGACCTGAATGCGAAAATTGATATCAATACCGCTTCCAAGTTCGAAAAGTGAGAGTGTGGTAGTAGAAGTGTGAGTGTATTGCAATTTGAAAGCAATTTCTTGAAATCTCCCTCTCCTTTTCATTGACCAAGGCGTAAAAATTAACGCAAAATATTATTTGGAGGAAGTGCTTCTTGGACACTTCTCTGCTCATGTATCCAGTATGTTTGGCAATAGATCATACTGCTTTCAACAAGATTCTGCCCCGCCTCATAAAGCAAGAACTGTTTCGCAGTGGTGCAAAGAATATACCCTGTTTCATTTCAGCGGATGAATGGCCCTCGAATGCAAGTAACGTCGTAGTAGCCTAGCACGTGACCTAAAATTCTCAATTAATAACAAATATTCAAGTTTATGATTTTTTTCTAGTTTCCTTAATATTGTTTTTAGCAAGCAAAGTATTTGCTTTTCATTTCATTCATTTTTCGAATATATTTAATCATTTAAATAACAAAGTAAACATTCAAACGACGCAATTGCGTGTGTTGAACTTGAACTGTCAAAATTTTACTTTCCATTTGGTACAGCAAAATGTGAATTCTTTTTACACCATAGGAAATTCTTTCACCCCAACTCAACACAGGGAAAATTGTTACCGTTTAAATATAAATTTGATACGTCTTCACAGACTCTATAATTACAATAGATCATTTATGTTATTATAATTACTCTTTAATGATCAAAATTGTAATATTCTTTTGCTTTCTAGCATAAATATCGACATATAATTAAGAAAAATATTTTTATTACAAACAAATGTTTATATTTTACAGATACATTCCATGTACTAAAAAACGGTGTTTAAGAAATTGTCTTACATTTTATTTTTTATTTAACGTACGACCACGTCGTTTTTTAGGTGGAATTATAACTCCTGCGTTCACCACAGCATTATCATCAATATCGGTAAGCGTTCTTTTCTTAGCTTTCTTATTGATCTTTGCTAAGTTTTTAAACAACTGTGAGGCGGATTCTTGATTGCTTTCATATTCTAAGACCTCCACATTGTCTGGTATTGAAGAGGAGCGTGCCGCACTATCTACGGTATCAAAACTGAACAACTCTCCATAATTGTCGTTATCGCAACTGCGTAATTTTCTTTTTGACGATTTTCGACCAGTAGCTGAATGATTCAAAATCGCGATCGAAACTGATTTAGATACAGCTCCTTGCAAAGTTTCTTCGGCTTCATTTGTATTTTTGCATTGTTCATCATTTCTTACGATTTTTTTACCGATTTTTCTTGACACAATGGGCAATTCGTTCATCGTTAGTTCCGGGTATTCCTCGTTAGAGTTTTTTTCCGTCTTGCTTTCAACACTAAAATCTACAGAAATCTCACTGCTAAGCGAAAATGTACGCTGAACTGCCGCTGTCAATGCATGTGTTCGAAAACGGAAATCATGAACAGTGCCTTGATGCAGAAAATTGGATATGCAGCTATTTGTTTTCTTCGATAAAATTATCACAAAACGATTAAAGGACTCTAGATGTAATACCACTTTTGGTATAAACTTCGTTTCTCGCAATATTTTAGCACCGTCTGCTTCCGGATTCAAATGTTTTTCTTGGTCTTTATCGATAACGTTTGCTTCAATGTATGAAATAAGAGCATAAATATTTGTGGGAAGGGGTTTGCCAATAGCACGCAGCAAAAATTCAAATCTATAATTATTACCATAGTACACAAAACTCAGTTAACTACATATATGTTAGTACTTACTTTGTCGATTGCATACAGACTTGCGATGTCTCAACACAACTTAAGTAATGCTTTGTAAGGTTTTTTAAACATATATAGTGCTGCATTAAGAGCTTCAAAAGCTGGTCCATTGACGAACCTAAGGGAATGCAAGCATTCACAAGATTTTTTAATGCATTTGAGATATGAAGCATCTGTGAACATATCGATCGCTCCATTGAACGCAACTGACTAAGACACATGTCTCGCTCATCTTCAGTTACAATGCGATATTTGAAGTTTAAATTATTTGCTTTGAGAATGAAGTGTTCTACTTCATCTATTTGTTTTCGTAATACCTGACATAGATATAAGAAATATGGTTTTGCACTTTCCATTGTCAACGATTTTAGAATAAAGGCCGGAGGACACTAACCAAAAGTTTTAAGGAATGAATCAATGTCAGTAACAAAGACATATGTACATAACATATCTACTTACCTCGCTGTCGTAAAACTCGTCAGATATAGCACCCCAAATGGTGCATAATTGTAGAGCTATTGTGTTGAAGAAGGCGCCGGAGTGTGTTTTCTGTCGTTGAGTAAATAGCAGTTTATGCACTAAGCTCAATTTTTCAGACTTTACAACATTGCATTTGCAGAATTTCAGTAACCATTTATATGACTCAATTGTTAAGCGATCCGTAAATGAAAAATTATCATAAAGCACTTCAAGACTCTGAAGCAAAGCTTGTAATATTCTTTTGCGATCAGAATTGTCATCATGGCTATAACCCCTCTGATTCAATGTATCTGGAGAATCTTCCTCTTCCATAAAGTCGTCGATTATGGTTTGTAAAATCTCAGGGGATTGTTTAAAGTTATTAATTGAATGAAAATCTACATATATAAAAATTAACCACGAAATTCAACAAGCTAATCGATAGACTCACCGAAACCTTTTAAGAATATTTCAACAAATTGTTTCTTATAAATTACGTTTGCAGTTTGTATGCACTGCTGAAAGCATTCGGCAGATAAAGCAGCCGTGTTTTTATCAAAGCTGGACCATACGTCTCCCAAACGACGAATACAACGTTCGTAAACAACTTTTGTTAAGTCTGTAAGATATTTCAAAGTGCGCTTACTGTGAGCTAATTGTTTATGTTCTGGTTCATCACGTAGAGCTGCTACCTTCTGTGCAGTAATTTCTAACACGTACCGCACAAATTCTACATTTGAGCGAAGTACGTCTGTATTATGACTTGTAGCGAAAGGCACAACATCCCTATAAATAAAATATATACAATATAGCAGAGAACTGTACCTCTTTTATCAATATTTCGCTTACTCATGTAAAAGTCGCAGAAACTTTTCAATTACATTAAAATCCCAAATATTTCCCAAACTTGTGCAATTGAAGTTTTTTACTATCACACCATTAATGGTTATATTCTTCATTGTAGATCCATCAGCATTATTGATTTTATTATTTTTTTGTAATTGTTTCCTTGATATGCTCGTAAAAGACTTCAACATTGTAAAAATAAATAAATAAATAAGAGACATATATATTGTTCAGAGGATGCATATAATACAATATACATAAGTGTATGTATGGATATCAAACAACTAACCCTGTACGTCGCACTGACCCTGCAGTGTATTTTGAATAATGGCAAAATATGTGTAATTGTGTCATTATTTGAATTTGCAGTAAGTAAAGAATACGCCATTAAACCTTCTAAAAAGTTTATTTGTATTTCTAATATAACGCTCTTTTTAGGTTGCCAGTTGTCATCCTAAAAATGTAAAACAATTTCAATCTGAAAAATCTGTTTATATATAATATATAAAGAGATTTGCAAGCTCAATTACAATTAATCTTATTCACTCACATTTACCTTTTCTTCGAACTGCAACTCCTTGGTAATTACTTTGTCCACAGCTAAACGCAACAATCGTTTTATTTCTCTAACATCATATCCGATTTCGAATCCTTCAAGCTTAATTAAACAATGGCTAACAAACTGTACTAAAAGACCTAGATTGTCTTGAATTTGTAATTCGTACGCATTCACTGAGGAAGTCCGCACAACTTTATCAAACATCACGCAGAAATTCCCTTCAACATCTGTGGCATTGGGAACCCGAAAGAACGAACGAAAATGCCAGTCAATAAATTGAAGCACATGCGGCACAAGTTTTGGATTTAATTCTACAGCACGCTGCAAGTCTAAAATAAAAAAAATAAAAATAAATGTTAATACACAAACAAGGCATATTTGCATATTATTTGGTATTAAACATACTTTCATATAATACACTCTTCATAACTACATTATTTGCAAAACAACTCCTCAGAAGTCCCATTATTTCCAGGGTTAACATATCAAAATGATGGTAAGGATATTGTCGACTGTCAATAGCGACTTGAGACATCAATGAAAATGCGGAAATACTATGTTGGGTACAAAAACTAGAAGCATTTAATTGCGATCGTTGAGAATTACTATTGTTCAACTGCTTAAGTATCATACAAAAACCATAAACCGCCATTGTTCGAATGTGTTGCATGCTGTAAAAAACATTAAATAAACATAATTAGCATTTATAATATTCATAAAAAAATTATTGAAAGAGCTTAGGACCATCAAACCACATCTCTTGTCTTCTTACAGTTACATAAAAACATAACAGTTTCATACATATGTAAGCTTGCCCGATTAATACCTTGAATTAATGGCTTTCCGAAGCACTTCAATGAACGCGTCTCGCACAACTGCAGAAATTCTTAGTATTGGTAGTATAAACGACATCATTCGCATTGATTGATCACCTGGTAACTTAAATACATAAGTGCACTTATATATTTCAACATATAATATAAGTTTGTTGTTTGTTAGCATACCCACAAAAAAAACTCCATTACATATTTGATAGTCTTTATGCACTCGGAAACTGTGAATGTATCTGCAACACTCAACATAAGTAAGCACTCTACATAAGAAAATATTTTATATTTTATGTACATTTATAGTAAAGTAGTGTAGTTTGGCTCTTACCACCAAACTGAAACTGATCTTGTTCCACCATCATCCATTCTGCTAACTTTTTCACAATTCCATGTCCAAATACAAAACGTTTGCGTATAAATTTAGTTAAAAATCTCATAGCCAGCGAGTTTAATGGCACATTGTTCTTTGTTTTAAGCAAAGTAAAAGCTAAATTAACCAAACCTGGTGTAATAACATCTTGCCCATTTTTATTCTGATCAATAAGTACTGAGAGGACATAATCCAACTGTACTTGCTTTCGCAGCAACGTATCCCGACACCATGCTGAATATTCTGCCATTTTTTGTTCATACTCGTTACTGTGTATGACACTGCGTAGAAAATTTAAAAGTACAGATGTGGTAACGCGTCGTGATTCGGGCTCCCGATTTGCAGAGCTCAAAGTTATTATTGAGCTTAGCATAAAAGGAGTCAGTATTAAGTCGGGCATTGAGCTAAAGTTCTATAAAAAAACAATCATTGATAAACCATTATTAAAAGAATTTCAGTCCTTGTTTCTAACAATATGCATAAAAAACTTACTCGCAAAACAGCAGACATTTGAGTTTCCCCTACTTTATATTGTGTGCAGTAATTCAAATGATGCAAAACCGTCTCCTCGGCCTCACGCATTTCTTTATCGGAATATGTATCTAATTATTCAACATTAGACGTATTCATTAATTCTATTTTTTATATATTTTCTAACAACAAACCAATGGAGTCGTAGTCAGATGAATTGCTTTCCATATCAGCAAACAGTTTTTTGTAATAAAAACGGTAGAAATATTTGTCAAAAGCCAGTACTAATATCATTACTTCTGTACATGACGAACACATAGAAAATAATTGAAAAGCTAAAGGTGGCAAATCAATAGGAGACAATGATAAGACCAATCCACCAAATTTATTAAGAACGGCATTTACTTCCGAACTTTTCAAATTCAGTTCCCTACAAGATCTAAATTATTTATACGCTTTTAGATAATTTTCTATTTTTTAATTACCTAAACATGTCCGCAATCGAAGTTATAATCTCTATGGGCCAATTCATTGTTATCAGACTATTGACTGTATTTGCACGAAATTCACTTCCTTTAATAAGTACGCCATCAACAGCCAATTGTGTGTGGTTAGCTAAAACTTTCAGTACATCTGGTAGTAAATCTTTCCAACTGTAAAACACAATCATGTAGAACATCACTTCACAAAGCAAAATATATGACTTACCACACATATTTACGATCACCCATACGTATTCCATCGATACAAACTTCGAGAATATAAATTAACTGGTCAGATGGAAATGTTGATATATGCTGACATAGTCGTATTATCAAATCGTAGGTCTGCTTGTATCGCAATTCAACACGTTGCAAACTTTTTAGTAAATGTTTCACGCAAACAAAGCGTTTTTCTATGATATGACAACTACTGTATCCAAAGCTGAGACCTTCAAGAATGTAACTCCAAAACGATACAAAATCATTTCGTCCAAATTTCGAATTTAAAATAGCAACTAACTAAACATAGAATATTCTTACCAATTTAGTTAATAGAAATGATTTTCAAATAAAACAATATAGAATTACCGTCAATGTGTCAGTGTTCTCAATTAAGCTATGCAATTCCATAAAATTTTTCTTTTCGCCATATTCTCCAATCAACGACACCACAGATTTTCCCTTCGAACTATGGATCCTTGAATGCAAAGTATTAGACAATTCATTATTTTTATCGACATTAAACATTCTACAAATATTCGAATTTATTCCACCACAAAAATTAAAATTTCACAGAACGCTCACTCCACATCCGTAACTACTATTGTCAATGACTATGGTGGACCCAATTCATAATCAAAAGTTGTATTCGCGCCTTTGCAAAATTTAATGGTTCACAATAGAAAATCTTAATAAAAACGAGCCAATAATTTTAGAACCGAGCAACAAGGGACTGAATCATAATGTCCCTCTTTCTAAGTTTCTTTAAACATAATTAAGGAGTAATCATATGTCCTATAAGTACAATACATTATTAACTTACTTATATTAAGTCATACTTTTTTTTCTGAGATATAATATAAATATTATACAACACTGAATAAATACTATTGTGACCTAGACAGTTCCATAGGAAATAAATTTATTTTGAACGTCATTATTTGTTGGATGATAAAATTTTGCTTGTCATCTGCAACACAACTTTTTCTATAGAAGAAAATAGTAATATCTATATTTGTGAAATGGCGTTGGCAGAAATAGCTGGTATTGCAAACGCACCATTCTTTAAAGATAGAAATAATATAATGAGGTTTTCAAGTCAAACATACAACCTTGAGAACCCGTATTGCTTGTTGGCACCGCCATCTAATGGGGTGAGTTCCCTAGCCTTAATAGTAAACTAAGAAATTTAATGTGATTTCTCTTTCTAGCTAGTGAATATAGGATCTATGCAGGCCGCTGGAGCACAAAGCAGTACTAAAATTAATTACGATCACGGTACTACAACTTTGGGATTCAAGTACAAAGGTGGCGTTATATTGGCCGTTGATTCTCGTGCGACTGGTGGTCAATTTATTGGTTCCCAAGAAATGAAAAAAATTGTAGAAATCAACAAATATTTGTTGGGTACATTGGCTGGCGGTGCTGCTGATTGTGTATACTGGGATCGTGTTCTTTCAAAGGAATGCCGCCTGCATGAACTACGGAACAAAAAGCATATTTCTGTGGCAGCTGCAAGTAAAATCATGGCGAATATTGCTCATGAGTATAAGGGCATGGGCTTGAGCATGGGTATGATGCTAGCTGGCTATGATGATAAAGGTGCTGGTCTATACTATGTCGATTCGGAAGGATCTCGATCGCCAGGAAATATATTTTCCGTGGGAAGTGGTTCAATTTATGCGTATGGTGTACTTGATTCAGGTTACAAATATGATTTGGAGGATCAAGAAGCCTACGAATTAGGGCAACGTGCTATATATCATGCAACATTCAGAGATGCTTATTCCGGTGGCATTATTCGAGTGTACCACTTAAAAAAAGATGGTTGGATAAAAATATCGGAGCGCGATTGTAAAGATCTTCACTTTAGATACCAAGAAGAAAAAAATTAATAATTTTTTAATCAATCCATAAAATCAAGAATCAATGTAGTTATTTTTAAATAAAGTTTTACTATAGATATGGTTAAAAGCTTTAATCAATTCGATCGTACAAATATAATGAATCTATGTAAAATAACATAGCAACTACCTATCTTAAATCACCGGTTAATAACGCAACAGCGTTACCAGAGATTTCTGTTAAAGATTCTATGAGTTTCTTAAGGCTTAATTGACAATTCTAACCGAAACTCTTGTGTACCTCGTTCATTGTCATCAACATTATTTACAGGTATCCTTTCTTTAATCTTGGAATATTCTTTTTATCAAATAATTTGATTTTGGAGAGGATAAAAGAATATTCCAAGATTAAAGAAAGGATACCTGTAAAAAATTTGTCCTAAGTAGTAATTCCTAAACTATAGTAATAATATGGATATGGATTTTGTATATTTTAAAAATGAATTGGTCCAAAAGATTTCCATGCTTATATGTTTAGTATGGCATCACTTTCATTTATTAACATGCAACCCTTTTATTATTGTGTGAATAAATCGAACTAAATAAGAATTTGAATGTTGCATTAAAATGATTTAATATGTATAAAGTAAGCCTAATTATGTTAAGTATTAATGAATAAAAGTGAACGGTATAAGTGCCAAATTCATTTTAAAAGAAACATAACATGATCATTATTTACGAACTATATTATACAATTAAATAAGATAAACCAAGAGAAGTACATATTATTACTCAGGAGGGCCTCTATCAGCCCATACATATTTTAACCGCGCATCCAGGGTCTCCTTTCTAAATTGCAAGCAAAATATTGAAATAATGTCCAAAGTCGACCTGGAGTCATCCAAAAACTATTCACAGCTTTTAAGCAATCATCACAGCGTAAGAAGTCACTGCCCAGGAGGTAGTTCTAACAGTGGAATTGAAGGCGATGCCAGAAGTATTGTAAGTGCAATGATTTTTACATGGTTTCGGTTCCATCGGGTCTACAAATTGCTATTGCTTATATTGTTCGTATTAGTACTATGGCCTCTCTTCGCGCATTACAGTTTACTAAACGTAAGTTTATTAATATCATTATTGCATATAATCAAATAACAAAACATATACATTGTAATTTTTAGCACCCTATCAACGATGTTCCGTCTGCTGATATCCATCGCAGCCGACCTCTTTTGGATGCGTATGAGGATTTTAGTTCGATGCGAGCTAGCGATTTAAAGATGCGTATTGAAGAAATGCTGCATATAAAAGTGAGCAAACGTATTATATCTAATATAAGTTTGTAAAATAAAGTAAATTCTTTACCATATATTATATGTTCTCAAAAGAGTACAGTTTCGGTAGAACTACGGGAACTTGAATCGCGTCGACAAAAGCTTCAATCAGATATTGGAAAATATAACCAAAAAATTGAAGAGTTAAAGCAAAATTTATTACGTGAACAAACCGAACTGGAAAGATTAAAAATATCTGTTGAACAAGCGCAAGTAGCTCAGCGAGAAGCAATTCAACGCAACACTCCCGATTTGGCTCTACCAAGAACTTTATACCCCAATATATTGCCCCGAAAACTGCCAGCCATAACTACAGACGCAGGATTGTCCTGTGAAATGTACAACTGTTTCGACTATTCCCGTTGTAGTTTAACATCTGGATTTCCTGTATATTTGTATGATCCAGACTTAAATAATATATTGCGGCCAGGTTACGACATAGATGGATTTCTGAAAACTACAATTAAACAAACACTTGGCTATAATGCTCATATTGTGCATGATCCTAAAATGGCTTGCATATTCCTGGTGCTCGTAGGTGAGGCTATGCTGGAAAATGATTTAATGAAAAATAATCGATATGCAGTCGAAGAAGAAGAACGCAAAAACGATTCAAAGTCTCCTTTAATAGAGATTCCCATCGATATAGAGAAACTATTCCAATTGCCATATTGGGGTGGTGATGGCCGCAATCACGTTTTGTTAAATCTAGCACGACGCGATTTACATTCACCGCGAACCAACGCTTTTCTTAATCAAAATACTATGCGTGCCATAGTAGTGCAATCATCATTTGAACGTCTACAATTCCGCCCTAGTTATGATCTAATAGTACCACCTATTCTTGGACCACCTGGTGGTGATGTTTGGCAGGAATGTGCCCCAATGATTCCAGCACGACGTACTTATCTTTTATCTTTTCAAGGAGAACTGCGTCCAAGTGATAAAACGGTGCAATTACATCCATTAGATGATTTTATTTTAGATCATCTTACTGACATGTCCAAAGGTTCCACTCAAGACAAATTCTTATTGCAATTTCATTGTATACCAGCCACTGAACAATCAGACGAACTGGCTTATATGGATTGGGCACTTTGTGGTACTGACTCATCCCGGAAAGCAATTTTAAAAGAATCAACTTTCGTATTAATTCTGCCGCCATTAGAAAAACGAATCAGCTCAACTCTGATGTTAGCGCGACTTTATGAAGCTCTTAGATCTGGTGCCATTCCTGTAATACTTGGTGCTGACGAAGTCCGGTTACCTTATGCTGAAACCATAGATTGGCGACGTTTAACCATTTTGCTCCCTAAAGCTCGTATTACCGAACTGCATTTTTTGTTACGTGCTGTGCAAGATGTTGATCTAGTACAAATGCGACGCCAAGGCAGGCAGATTTGGGAGAGATACTTAAGCTCGGTGCAAGCAACCGTCGATACAATAATAGCTAGCCTACGAGACCGCCTAGGTATACCACCACGTCCAGTTCTGTCTATTGTCGCCCAGAGTGTATTCAACAGTACATTTATTCCACTTAAATCTGATCCCCCTGTGGGATTGGATACAGAGCCGGAGGAATCATTAGGGCCTATAGAACCACCATATCCGAGTCCTGCATTTCGACGTAATTACACAATTTTACGTATGCAATCTGGTGAGGCATGGAACCTATGGGTATGTAAATAAAAATAATCTTTTTTCTGAATGTTTCATTTTATTTTTTAACGATAGGTTGATCCTTTTTACATGTATCCACAATTGCCTTTTGATCCAGTTTTGCCCGCCGAAGCTAAATTTCTTGGTTCCCACATGGGATTCCGACCCATCGGAAAAGGCAGCGGAGGTGCAGGAAAGGAGTTTAGTGAAGCCCTCGGAGGCAACTATCCACGTGAACAATTTACTATTGTTATACTTACATATGAACGCGAACAAGTTCTTATGGACTCTCTTGGTCGCCTTTACGGTCTACCCTATCTGCACAAGGTAGTGGTGGTGTGGAATTCCCCCAAACCTCCGCTTGATGACTTACGCTGGCCCGACATTGGTGTACCAGTTGCGGTGGTACGTGCCCCAAGAAATTCCTTGAACAACCGTTTTCTACCCTTCGACGTTATTGAAACCGAAGCGATTCTCTCTGTTGATGATGATGCTCACTTACGTCATGATGAAATATTATTTGGTTTTAGAGTTTGGCGAGAGCATCGCGATCGCGTTGTAGGATTTCCAGGTCGATTTCTTGCATGGGATTTGCACTCAAATCGGAATTGGAACTATAATTCCAACTACAGTTGCGAACTAAGCATGGTGTTAACAGGAGCCGCTTTTATACATAAATATTATATGTATCTTTATACCTACCATTTACCTCAGGCTATACGCGATAAAGTTGATGAATACATGAATTGTGAAGATATAGCTATGAATTTCTTAGTTTCGCATATAACCCGTAAACCGCCTGTAAAAGTAACATCAAGATGGACGTTTCGATGTCCAGGCTGTCCAGTATCGCTCAGCGAGGACGATACACATTTTCAAGAACGCCACAAATGTATAAATTTTTTTGCACAGGTACGTATTATTATTTTATTTTTTTAACAACTATTAATATTAATAATATTTTCCTAGGTCTTCGGGTATACACCATTATTAAATACACAATACCGTGCTGATTCAATACTCTTTAAAACACGAATACCGCACGACAAGCAAAAGTGCTTCAAATATATCTAAAATACATAATGAATTTCTTGACAACGTTTGATATGCACAAACTATATTACGAAATCTGCTCTACACACAGATATACGGTTATCGATTTTACCATGTTTTTATATTACCGCTAATTAAAATACATGTAACATTCTAACGCGATTAAAATAAACAAACAATATTTTCGTTGTGCAAAGTTATGAATTACTCAACTAATTCCCCTTTTTTAATTCTTTTAAAAATTACTTTTGAATTAAATGAGAAGCAAAAAAGTACATATATTTATATGTTAATTTAATTATTCAAGCAATTTTATATAGTTTTGTTATTCTTAAAAATTGCAATTATTATAAGTTTTCCATTGTTTTAAAGGATCCGTATATATGTATGTATACAATTCAACTAATAATGCATCTTAGATATTACTATAATTTCAGTTTAAAAAAAGAGTTGAAGTACAGTATGTTGACATATTTATTTATTTTTTCCATAATTAGTTATCCTATATACAATACAACGTATGTATTATATATTTTTAATAGCAATTTTCTTTTCCTCTAGTTTGTGAATAGTTATGCCTTAAATTTTATACACATTTTATTTATATACATATGAAATTGTAAGCCTAGATCAAAGTATTGCCTTATATAGCAATTTTGCATTAGTTTATATTGCATATTTTATTTTTTTTAACAAAATCATTAACATTTAATGTTCTTATTAGGTTATGTTATGGAAACAGTGGATTTAATGGAGTATCTTCATCATGTATATCTCCACTGCTGTATTCATTAAGCTTTATACCTAAAATATTTTCAGTTAAATTGATAAATATTTTAAAAATTCACAAATGGTGTTTCTGTTAAAACTCGGAGCATTAATAACTCTTATAATAAAGTATTAATAGAAAGGAGCTGATGGCGCCCTCCGAAGTGCTTGATTACTCAGTTCGCACGATAGCCGGGACAAACATACCTGGCATTCAGGACAAGAGCTGTCAACATGGCATCATTCCTACTAATACCATCAAGAAGCAGTGAGTGACTCGACGGGACGTAGGTTCAAATCTCGGTCCAAACAAAATCTAAAACCATTAAAGTTTTTCCCATTGAATTTTTAATCCGATAGTATGGCAATTGCAAAAAAAATTGCCTATTATTTTAGAGAAAGGATTTGGAATTTAAGGATGATTACTATATAATTTTGACACTTGCGTATAATTTACACTTGCAGCTAAATTCAGTAATTATCATTTTAAATGCTTTGGGATTGTAACAGACCTGTTTTGACTTCAAATTAAGGCGAATTAACCCATAGGGACATTATTTATACATTCGTCTTGTTCCAAATTTTAATATGTTTTATACAAATTTTTTATAATAATTTACCAACACTTGGATTCAACAAAATTTTTGTTATCACATCTCCGTCGAATATAACTAATAATGATACCGATTTTGTAGCCCCGTACAATCGCAGGAAATACACTGAAATCGAAATCTTGTAATCTTACATAATGCCTTGTTTTTACAATAATTATTTTTACTAACGAGAATTCGGTTTATTAAATTTATATTTGTTATTCCATCCACAAGTGAATCCATCTTAAAACATTTCGGCTGAATGGTATCAGCGTTTTAAATATACGTATTTTTATTTTGCACGAAAAAGGAAAATTAGTTTTCCTGCAGACTCAACTTTAAGGCCCGCTCAAGCATTTCTTGTTCTCGCTGCATCGCCAATTCATATTCTTCCTGATCATTACGGCTAAGACGCAAAGCCATTGCTAGATCAGGATCCACGTATCGAAATCCGCCATCATCATCGTCTATCACTGGGGACCCAGTGGTATGTGTTGCACCGCATAATGACTCCTGTAGAACTCTATTTTTAGAAGGAAAAGCGAATGGGATATACGAAGCAAATAGCATTTACTCAAGACATTTACTAATTACATATATTATGTATGGATTCAATGAGAATAGTTGTAAACCTCTTTGTGAGTGAGTTCGTATTTAAATTAGCTAAAAACTTTTATAAACTTCACCACAAAATTTAAGTTATGGTGATGACATTTAATAAGCCAACTATTTAAATATTTTTTTCATGTAAGCAATATCTGTTTTAAATTGATTTGTCGGTGTTGGAGTGGTACGCCCACGGTGAGGTGTAGCTGTTGGCGATATAGAATCACGCAATCTTTCACTATTTAATAGTGTGTTTGTATGAATTTGTAAGTAATTCCTGTTTGTTTTTGTGAATTCTGGAACGTTAGCTGTGAAACGGTTTGGGGATGTACGAATATTATTACATGATTTAGAGGGTATATGTAATCTACGTGTAGACAAAAATTAGCAATATGCAATGCGAAATTAGCCACATAATTTAGAAAGAAATATAAATAAGAAATAAAAAATAAACAATATTTTGATTCATTTGTATATTATACCTCTGTAACTGTTCGTCTTCATCCGGAACTCCATCGGTTCCTTGCCCACGTAATGCTTCCCATATATCCACTTTATCCGTATCATCTGTAATATTTGGTATAGAAGCAGCTCTGTTCGTGGTCTGTACCATGCTTTGTTCAATGGCGTATTGTAACATATCATCTTCCTCCAACGGCAATTGCCGTCTTAAGTCCACATCTGAAAAGTAGGTGAATTACAACATTTCCTTCACATATTTAACAATTATACCTCTATTGGAATAATGGGTTGGTATATCAAAGCAGCGATCATCCACAATACAGGTTATGCGATCGTCTTCATTAATAGTAGTTACATTTTCTACAGCGCTTGTCATACCAAATACATTGCCAAATGTAATGCATGCATTTAAGAGATGGAATAGAGGTATTTCAACTTTTACCGGGAAACCCGATGGCAGTTGCATAGTGATAAAGTCTTTCAATTTGGAAACATGCGGACTTGCCATTGTTGACATCAAATCCAAAATAGGAAGAACTTGTTCTTGCAACCGCATCGGATACTCTTCGGAGAGCCATAAGTTAGCCTTAAATCTCTGAACCTATAAAATAGATACAGATTTATATTAAGAAAGTTGTGGGTAAACTAACTACTATTGCAATTACTCAAAATTTTTTTATTTGGTATTAAATATGAAATTTATTTGAGTATAAGGCATATGTTTAATTTTAGATAAAAAAGATATTTTTAATGTGTACCTTAGTTGTGACTTTCTTGGGACGGCCAATGTCGCATCCATCTAAATCGACATCGACAGAAAAGTATTCCTCTGGAGTAATAACGAACTTGGGTGAAGTAGTACCTGAACTACAACTGGCGTTCTCCTCTCCTGTACTATTTTCAAGAAATTCCTCTCGACATTGGGTTTCAACGGAGGGAGAAGGTGTCTAAAGTAAATTAAAAGCATATATACAAGTTCTTTTAAACAAATAAATTTTCATACAAGTAGTTTGTTACCAAAATATCATCTTAAAAAAAATCTTTCATATTGTTTTGCTTTTTCATTTTCTTTTTTCTTGTTTGCAAATCAATGATTCAGATTAACACAACTATGATTAGTAATAATCGACTATCGTTACGCATAAAAATTATATAAAACCAGTAAGGAAGAACTCAGTGTAGGTGTAATGAAATGCTAAAAAATAAATGTTTTCACAAGTTAGGTAAGTATAAGTAGTTTTAGTAGCTTGTGAGATATGGTCATTTAAATTAAAATTAAAAAAATTAAAAGTTTATAAACCACAACTCTCCCCGCGTTGTCATTCAAGCTTTGTTGCTTAATATGTGACTTACAACTGATAAAATAACTTTTTTTTTTATTCAATTAGTTCTAATTTTGGTGTTACAATAAACGTATAGTTGGATGTCGCCTGGAAACAAAATTATGTACGTAATTTTCTTTCACATTAAATATTACCCGATCTTTGGAATTTATTCCCTCATTAGAGCGTGTACTAGAAACTTCATCATCAGCAATACCTAAAAAGCTATGCAGTGGCGTGCGCGCACATTTATTCTGAGTTAAAATTAATTAATTTTGTTATTAAATTTTTTAGTGTTCATTTAAAACAAATAGCAGTACCTTTATTTGCTCTTCATTCAAATGATCCATTCGGGTGCGTGTTATAAACTCAACATTGCTCGCACCATACACTTTGCAATTGTATCCATTGACTATCTCGGACTTTTCACTCCGCCAGCCCCAAATCCCTGATTTGTTACGTTCAAAGCTTATCTTATCCATTTCAATGTTATTCGTAATAACAGGCGCATTGAGCCTAGCACGGACAGCTCCAATTGGGGGTGGAATTGCCACAATATCTCCAATATCACTATTCATTTGTTCCTCCATGACTTCATGAGTGTCGTGATCGATTTCAATCATTACTGCAGAGTCTTCTAGACGTGAAAAAATAATAATAATAATTAATAGAAATATATAAACATAAGCCAAATAATATACATTTTTATAACAATTTGTTTCCTTTAGTCTTTCTGTGACTCACTCTAGCAGATCTCAAAAATTTCCTGATTTATTTTATACCGTTATAATAATACTTGTTTTTTATAGCTATATATACCCCGAGGGCATAATGTGCCCTCTGTATTCAATTTAACTTCTATGATACAACAAATAATTTTAACTTACTTGCTCCTTTGAAAATGTATGAGCGATTCCCTCGTTGCCAAGTATTGTTATCAAAGCCAAGCAATGTGGTATCGATTCGGACATTCGCACCACGTTTATAAACTTTGTAGGTGTCACTAGGACAAAGCCGAGACATTAGAGGTACTGCAACGTTTGATTAAATAGTTATCGGCAAGGTTTACTTTACAGATTGCTATAAAAAAAATAGATAAATTACAGCTTACCCCAAGATGTAAATTCCCATTTCATTTCTATATAGAAATCAGGAGCGTCTAATAAGTGCTGCAGCAATTTTGGTACATGCGTTACTCGTTGAACATGACGTTGCAAATCGCGGACTTCTATGATAGCGGTTAATATAGCTTCATCTCCTGAACACACGGCTTCTTGTACAACTGGCAAATAGTAGTTTAAATGTATTATTTTATCCTAAGTATTTAAATTTTATTACCTGACCATCCCTCATGTTCAAAGCTGGCGTTACATTTTGCTGCTAAAAGGCACTTCACACATTGTAAATGTGATAATTTAACCGCTAACATTAAAGGTGTCCGCCCACGGTTATCGACTTTTTCTTTGTCGATCTTTTGAAGAAAAGTTGAAAATTCTTTGAGTGTTTATTATAGAATTAAATTACAAACATATCAATTATTTAAATTCAAATTGCACCACCTCCAAAATTATATGTTTATTATAGTTAAAGAATTTTAGACCCGTCTTAGACCTTCTGAATTGAAGAATTGTTAATATCGAATATGATTCTTCTACATAAAGAAAACTTAGTTCCCTTGAACGAAAACCTTAAAAAAAATTATTTAAAATATTCTTGTACGTTAATAGTCCGTACTAATCTCGTTATTTGACGTAACTGCTGCCCAATGCACTATACAAACACCCACAATATGCCAAAAATTATTTATTACTATGATATTAAGCTCTAATTTAATTCGTCAGCGCCGCCAATGATTGTATATATACAATTCACATAAGTCGAGCTCAATGCAAGTTTACTTTCCTTTGAAAAAATTAGAATAAGGGATTTTAGACTTTGTGAAGTTATTTATTAATATAGCAAATGCATTTTTTTGTAAGCCTCTATTAATCTACGTTGCTAGGTAATGTAGTAGAGGTGTTTAAATACAATGCATGCATATGCTTGAGAAAAATTAAGTCCACTTCCATTAAGAAAAGTAAATGTAAATTTGAATATTACCTTTAATTAAATTAGCATATTGATGTAATTTGACATATCACCGGGTAGCTGAGCACCCCTTTTATGGCGATTGGAAACAATAAATCTTTGGCTATTTGAAACCATATATGTTGAAAATTAATATTCTTAGTGAATATAAAGTCCCACTAGTGGTTTGTTTATATTGACATAGTCACCATCACTAATCTTTATTTCGAATCATCTTCATTATCGTCATTCACTTCCTCACCGTTTCCGTTTTCAACACCCGTTTTAACTCATCTACGTTGTTGATCCACACCAGCCAGTGCAGGGGAAATTCATTCTGAATATCCTCCAATGTTTTCATGACTAGAAGCAAAATTTGTTCACCTTATGCCTCTATATATTTCCAATATGGATTCTTATATTTATTATTGCTCTGGTAAATCAGAATAAGTTAATTTTCTTACTACTCTATATTTGTTAATTGATAATGCATTCTTCGCTGTACTGACCGTCTGTCAATAAGTAAAATTGTAAATTCTGCGAAAGAGACAACTATAAACGTTAAGTCGACTCTAGCCATTCACAATGAACCTTCACGAAAAACCACAGTGGGTATTGCCAAACAAAAAGATACATCTATTCACCTTTACGATGCATATCATTTTTACCAGAGAACTGTCGTAGACTATTGTATAAGCCTCTTGTCAGGTTTCCTTGCTTGATCTGCATTTTATAAACATACATAATTAATACACCCAATTCCAATTACAACAACTTTTAATATTACACACCTTTTAGTCAAATGTCACACTCACAAAAGGGATAAAACACCTTTAAAGCTTCTGAGATTTCTAAGTAGGGTGGGTGAGAGGAAAACATGTTCGTGTGATGTATGAGTATGCCCAATAAAGTATCCTGGTCCATTTCAGGAGTAGAATGTGTGATTTTTCTAAACCTATTAAGATATCTTGAATATATTTAAATTTTCACGATTTCGAATTTATAAATTCCTTATATTCCATATACTTAATATACATTACCCTTATTTATTTGAATTTATTTTGTAATATAGTAATTTTATAGTTCGTCTTTAAATATAAGCAAAAATATGATCGAAACACATACCCTCAGAATAAATTGGTTCTTTATTTAGCGATGATGGTGTTTTAAATAATCCTTCATAAACTTAATTGCAATAACATTGCATTAACTACGTTAAGAATGTCTGTACTATGCTCAGACGCTTCATAAATATACATACATATTTACATAATTACATAATATTTAATAGTGGCTTGAATGTTTTTTCTGAGCATTGGCCATAAAATATTTATTTGTTATTCAAAAATAATAATACAATTGTTTACTTAAAGAATAAATAAATGATTTATATTTTTATCCAATTTTTTTTTTTTTGTATTACCCTAATAATTTTTATTATTATTTTTGTTTCAATTGATTTGTAGTTTTGAATGAATTGTTTACTTTTAATCTTTATTTTCTATTGATACCAGTTTTATGTTTTTGTTGCGCAGTTTAACTGATATTTATTCCTGTACTTAACAACATTTACGGTTGTTATTAGCTCCACTTATGACTCGGGGGTGTTGCATGTCAGTGCGACGCTGACGATTGTTCCTGCTTTGCATCTCACGCACCTGATTTGCACGCAGAATGGCATTACGACGAAGGTTTCGACGGTCATAAATTGCTAAACTCTAAAGAATAAATAAATATAATATGAACGCATTGAAATATTTTAATTTGTATTAATATAGGTATATTAGAACTCTACTTTTTTGACTTCTCTATTTGTTATGGGATTGTTTGTATGGAATTTAGTAAATCGTACCATGAGCCGAAATCTTGTTAATGTTTGCTCTCTTCATTGACTATTATATTCGGGTCAATAATGCAACTTCTCAATACAACTACATACTCCTCTTTGAATTCATATAAACGGTGATTGAACTACTGAACACGTAAATAAAAATAATATATAATAATACATACACACCTTTTGGCTATTCATAGCAAATAGCTCCATTTTTAGATTAGCGCCATTACAGCGGTCTATACGCGGAGTTTTAGCACTTTTTCTGATATTTGGTTCAGTTTTCTAGGTAGAAAGAAATAATGAATAATTGTTTTAGTATTAATTGTAATATATTTTAATACGCCGTAGTTCGAACTCACTTGCTCTGATAAAGTTGGTGATGGTTGGACAAAAACTATTTCCTGTGACTTTTGAGGATTGAAGTTTTCTTTTTCTTGTCGCTTTTGTTTGCGGGTTTGAGAATTGTTGAAATCTGTCTGACCCTGACACTGACTAGATTTGCTTGCTTCGAGATCAAATTTTACAAAGCTTTCAGATGTTTTTTGAACAGTCTTAATACTATGGTATATTGACATACTGCATGGAGATAAAATGATATTTACGCATTAAAGTTAAAAGTATACAGTATAACTTACATATAACACTTATACTAAAAGTTTACCTCGGATGCTCAATAAGTAAATTTTCAAATGGTGACATTTCCATGTAAATAGGGCCAGTTGAGACAAAGCATGGCGGAGGTGTCATATACCACGAATCAACCATTGTAAATAGTTTAGCACCAGAACCGTTACTGTCAATACTGCCACTGCTAAGATTGGGTTCTAAATCTTTATGGTTAGCAGCGTGCAGCAGTTGAGCGCCACTGTTATTAGCTAACAATCTCGGGGTGTTGGCGAGATCAACGCCGGATTCGCTAGGTTTATTACCCAAGTTGCTTAATGATGATAAGTTTTCTGTACTAGGTCCACTATTAGCTCGGAAACATCCTGATTTTGGGGTAAGCATGTGCTTTTCACAATTGTTTTGCTGCTTCTGATCAGAGTTGTTACAAATATTATGTGGCTGCACTGTTGAAAAATCTAAAATATCTGAAATCGGTGTTGATGTTCTATTGTTATGTTCAGCTAAACTCAAACTTTCGTTAGAGCCCTTTCGAAAAAAGTAATTCGAAACATCCTCGTCTTGAAAAAATTAAATAATAATTTATTATTAAACATTGAGTACAAAAATGTTCTATATATGAACTATTTTATTTATCAGAGTAACATATTTTATTCTTTGTACTCAAATATAAAAATTTCCCTTTGTAAAATTAATTGGATAAGTTCACACAGGCAAAAATAGTACAATTAAAAACTGTACGTTTTCATTTCATTAATGGTTGTATCTATCTAATTTTTTTGTGTTATGTAAAACTTAAATGTTTCCAACTGTAGATTTATAATAACGTACCGTCCTTTTTAACGAGAAACCAATCATCATCTAAGTCAAAATCGACATCAGATAATTCTGAGGTTATGACATCTAAAATTGGTGCTGGTCTCGAATTAACTGCTTTTATTTTACTTGGAACGGGTTTCTTTCCTTTATTCTTTCGATTGTTGTGCTTATTATTATTACGTATTCCTCGTTGATATTCGCCGTTAGTTTCAATAGTTTTAGAATCCTTTTCCAAGCTATTTTTCCGTTGTTTATCGTTAGTAAGATTACATTTTTTGGACTTATGTAATTCAGAATGTTCAATAGGTTTACAGTTCGTGCTTTCTGTAGTACTTGACCCAAAGATAAACGACGCAATACTGCTAAACATTATACAACACTATACTTATCAATTAAGACACCAAAAGCGTAATGCCCAACGATTCGAATTAATAGTTCCTGTAAGGCAATTTTAACACAATATCTGCTTCAATAGCAATGTTTAGGTTAATATGGGCAATTCAAAATCCTTTTCTTAAAGCCGAGAATATTGCTTCTGTCCTGTTCAGTCTTATTTATTGAGCGAATGAGGCGTATCAAACACTATATATTAGCATTTACTCTGTAATAAGAAAAAAAGTCTACTTTATATAACGTATTGTAACATTCGAATTCTGTTTACGTCTTTCACTTGTTAAGTTTTTCACTGGATGTACTTATTAAGAGCTTCACTCTCTAAATACAAAATTTGTAAAAAACGAGCGTACTACAGCATTAAGACAAAAATATTCTTAATAACGTAAATCAATAATAAATACCAATACAAAATTTTCAGTGTAGTCAATATATTTTAAATCAATCAGGACACAACAAGCAATATATATGTGCATTTTAACCTTGAAATAACTCAGAAATTTGTTAATTTACACGGAGCTTATGTGTTGTATACAAAGTATCGAGACATATGTATATGTATGTATGTATTACTTGGACAAGTATATAAACTACATACTACTGAATAGATTTGCATATAAATTCATATGTATGTACTTTAGGTAGCACTTAGTATATAAAATTCAGTTCAGCAGTGTGACAAAATCCAAAAAACTACTATAGTTTTGTAAAATTGGATGATTTTTATAACTTCTAAAATTTTTCAGATAAACCAAATTTTTACAACCAACACTGAATAAATTGCTTAAATTCAATGAGCAAAATTTAAAAAGAAACAATAGGTGATAGCAACATTTTTATAAAATTATATAACACAACTTATATAGCTGTTTGGGACAAAGAAAACGTTTAAACAAGAAATTATTAATAACCTCATATAATACATACATAGGTATATATCTGTGAATATATTTATTCCACATTATATACATAAATTATATTCGGCCTAAATAGACATGTATATTAATATATACACATATATGTGGATTTATTTGTATGTAAATAATAAATTTTAAAAGAGTTTCAACCTATTTACCAATGATTACTTTAAACAATTTTAAGCAGATTGATTTACGTATTTCAAATTCAATTTCACTGTATTTCACTGCTTGTTAATAATCGGTCAGTCACTTACTAATTCGACACAAAACTGTTTACTAAATTTAACGGTCAGAACAAGGAGTCAATTTGGTTCAAGTCGAAAATATAATAGAATCCTATCTCACAAATCAAAAACAACTACCACCAAATAAAATGCACGAATATATTTATATATACATATTTTTTACAGATACACACAAAATTCTTGCATAGAAAGGTGTATGTATCTATGCAGAACATTCACAAAGATTGAATACATATTATGTAGAATAGAACACAGGTACCAAAAATTGATGGTAAATAAAGAGAACTGGGCAAGTGTTACATCAACGGGATATAATATACTACACAAGGGCGAACAGCTGATCTTTACGAAAGAATATAAATAAATTAATATATAAATGCATACGCCCAGCTGATAATTGTTTACTAACATAATCACATGTGCATGTACATATGCACGTTGGTACTTCGTTTATGAAATCTTTGGTATATAAAAACATTTATCATATGCAAACAAGAAGACACATACAACTTTATTAATTAATATTGCCAGTCTATTGCTCTTTGTACTTATTTTCAAACAATTGTTTTATATTTTTAGGTTCTCAGCGCTCGCCATGAAAATTTTTTGCTTTCTGTTGTACGTATATTTTGTTCAGTATAAAATGGAATAAATGCATCCATATGAGTGTATCTATTAAATTAATTTACTTAATGCGCAATTTGAGCAAAATGTGAGCTTTTATGACGAATAATGAAATTTTTTCTTTTTTAAACGAATCAACCCAAAACCAGGTTGCTAGGGCATCACTCGACGATACCGACATTGACTTCTACATTCACCCCTAAACGTTTTGAAATGAGTTATTTTACAAAAATTTATTTAACCCATCTTTTTATAAAGGTTTACTAAATTAAACAATTTTGTTACACAAACCTCACATTTATATGTAAGTACACTCGCAAAATGTTCACTATATGCTATATATTTACTAAATATTACTATATTAATACATAGAACACAAAAAATGCAATACTTTTTCTTTTTGAAGCGTAATTAAAAACTTATACTGAATTTCATTCCATTCATTGGAGAAACGAAAATAAAGACGAAAGACGCGGGTGCTTTCCCTATGGTATAAGGGAGTAGCGAAAGTCTCATTCACAATAGTTTCGCCACCTCTGAGGTGTACGTTCACAATAAAACCAACATGGTGGCTATGGTGAGTTAGGGTGGCGAGGGGCTAAAACGGGTTGCGCATAGCAGAAAACGCCAAAATAATTATTTATAAATATTTTAAATATTAAAAATGGTTATTGATTAATGTTTAATGCTAACAATATATTATATCATACCATGTTGATAAAGGTAAATATGCGGCATATTTTTAAGCATTTAAATAACTTATTAATGGGCAAACTGAAAATTCAATTTAACTATGAGTGGACGGGAAGAAATAACTATTGTAACAAAATTTGATACTATAAGTAATAATAATTTATATAATCAAAAAAGCAAAACTTATCATTGCCATACAAGTGATAATAATTCATTTAAAAAATAAAGCAAAATTTATCATTGTAATTATATCAAGAAATTTTAGTAGTGCTTTAATTTAAGTATAGATTTATTTAATCACAAATTTTTTTTACGTTTTATATATCAGCAAATAATGGTGGATATATGTACAATATTTTATTACAACTTTTGACATACAAAATTACCATATTATCATATAGTTCTTAGTTTAGTTTTTAAATATATAGACTCTAAAATAAATTATTTTTTAAAGTTGCAATATCTTAATAGTGTAAAATACGGTAGGCATATCAGGTAGTTGTCTCTGTATTTCAGCCTGTAGCCATTATAATATGTACAACATTTTACATATAACTCTTTACATAAATCAATTACCATATTGTTCTATAGTTCTAAATTTAGTTTTTAAATATAGAGACTCCTAAAATAAATAATTTGTTGAAGTTGCAATATCTTTATAGTATAAAACATTTTATAAGGGTAAATAAAATACGGTAGATATATTTCTTTTTTAAAAAGTATTATAAAATTAGCTTGCGCAACACTGTTATACAATGCTCAAAAGCAATACTGGCATTTGAATTTATTAACAACTTCTAGTCAAACGCATTAATACACACCTGCTCATTGATAAAAATTCTTGTTTGAGCAGTTTTATCAGGAGCAATATGAAATATTCATTATTTTACGAAGATTGTATTGCAAATTTTTAAACATTGCCCTCAGTTTCGTTGAATAAGCATTTTCCGCATGCCGTTATTTGACATGGTTGCTAACTGCACCTTACACTTTTCTGTGGTGAATATTTATTAAGTTACCACAGTAAAAAAAAGGCTTAAATATATATCGTAATTATTCTGAAATTTGCCAATAATAGTCGCTTTTTTAAGAACATATATTAAAATAAACTTATTCTATTTTAAAAACATATTAAAGTTTTTCATATAATCAATATTTTTTGGACAACTTTTTCATAAATTAAGAGAAAATAGCAAAATGCAACCATTTTCCGGTTAAAAGTCGGCCATCTTGGCTATCAATAGAAACTCAACCCCTAGGCGGACTTGACGTTTCTCCATGGACCCCTCTCAGCTGTAGCATTATTTACATCCATCAGCTGATTATTTCTCTCCTCCCCCTTTATGTTGGTATATAATATTCACAATGTTTGAATTCACGTGTATTTCCATACACACCAATATACCAGCAAACGCAAATTATCTATATTTGCAGTTGGTGAGTGCAAATATTTGATTTGCTCGTACACCATTAAGTTTTTACTTATTGCAGAGAACATTTGTTTGTATATAAAAATATTAAAATTTTGTACTTCTGAAAAATATACTAAAAACATTGAAAGTAAAAATTATTATTACACAAATCTGGTACTTCTGAAAAATATACTAAAAGCCAGAGATCTATATAGAGAAAATAAAAATTATTCATTCACAAATCTGGTATCACTAATAAAAAAGTACTTCTGAAAAATATACTAAAAACAACGAAAATAAAAATTATTCATTCACAAATCTGGTATCACTAATAAAAATGTGTCAGAGATCGTATATTTATGTGTACGCTAGTCCGCAATTGAACCAAAGAACGTAAACGAATTTTACGTTCTCTGTTTGCACCTTCTCTTTCACCCAGAAGCGTAAAATAGTTCATTTATGTTCTCTGGTTAAAATCAAACACACGTTAATACGCCGCGAGGTGAGTTCCATTTACATTCGTCGAGTTGGCTACAATTCTCAACCGCATTCTATGATTGTACGCATAAAAGCTGTGCACCCAATGCATCATTATCGAGTTGAAACTGTATTTATTCCCATTGACTAATAGACAAACAATTAGGTGCTGTTAAGGTTTTATTAGGTCTGTACTTTAGGTAGAATAAGCAGTTCAACGCATACGTATTGTCATAAAAGCAATGACCAAAGCAAAAAATAAGGTAATAAAAGAGTGAGATAAACAACATAGACAAAGTAGGAGGGTGGGTAAGGGGAAATAATTCTGTAGTATATATATATAAATATCTTAGTCCCTGAGTGTCCTCTAAACGATGCAATTTGTTTGACCCACCTAGCTTATATACTCCGGCCGCTAAAGGTCGCAGAAGGGTGAAAAACACCTGTGTGCAGGGCAAAATGACTCATGGTGCATTCTATAGAGTTCCCACGCTCCTGGTGGTGGTAGCGGGTGGTTGATGGTGATAATGGAAGCCCGAGTGTCCTCTAGGTGATCCACTGGTTTCATCCCCGCTCATATACTCTTAACAGAAACACAAAAAGGTAAAAAGTAGAAATTTTGAAATTTTCACTTTTTTGTTGATTGCCACTCACCTGTTCAACCTATATCTGAGATTGATGTCTCTAATTAACGTGCACCTGTGCGGCTACATGAATCAAATAGTTTGCGCCATCTTAGATCACCCTGTTTAGGCGCTAATGGGCAAAGGGTGACACGTTAAATTCAAAGTGTTTTTGGTGAATTGCCACGCCCCTATTGGTGGTAGGCGGGTGATTGATGATGCAAATGGAAGCCCTGAGTGTCCTCTAAACGATGCAATTTGTTTGACCCACCTAGCTTATATACTCCGGCCGCTAGAGGTCGCAGAAGGGTGGAAAAACACCTGTGTCAGGGCAAAATGACTCATGGTGGCATTCTATAGGTTCCACGCTCCTGGTGGTGGTAGGCGGGTGGTTGATGGTGATAATGGAAGCCCCGAGTGTCCTCTAGGTGATCCACTGGTTTCATCCCCGCTCATATACTTAACAGAAACACAAAAAGGTAAAAGTAGAAATTTTGAAATTTTCACTTTTTGTTGATTCCACTCACCTACGTTCAACCTATATCTGAGATTGATGTCTCTAATTAACGTGCACTGTGCGGCTACATGAATCAAATAGTTTGCGCCATCTTAGATCACCCTGTTTAGGCGCTAATGGCCGCAAAGGGTGACACGTTAAATTCAAAGTGTTTTGGTGAATTGCCACGCCCCTATTGGTGGTAGGCGGGTGATTGATGATGCAAATGGACCCCTGAGTGTCCTCTAAACGATGCAATTTGTTTGACCCACTAGCTTATATACTCCGGCCGCTAGAGGTCGAGAAGGTGGAAAACCACCTGTGTGCAGGGACAAAATGACTCATGGTGCATTCTATAGGATTCCACGCTCCTGGTGGTGGTAGGCGGGTGGTTGATGGTGATAATGAAGCCCGAGTGTCCTCTAGGTGATCCACTTGGTTTCATCCCCCGCTCATATCCCCTTAACAGGAAACACAAAAGGTAAAAGTAGAAATTTTGAAATTTTCACTTTTTGTTGATTGCCACTCACCTGTTCAACCTATATCTGAGATTGATGTCTCTATTAACGTGCACCTGTGCGGCTACATGAATCAAATAGTTTGCGCCATCTTAGATCACCCTGTTTAGGCGTCTAATGGCCGCAAAGGGTGACACGTTAAATTCCAAGTGTTTTGTGAATTGCCACGCCCTATTGGTGGTAGGCGGGTGATTGATGATGCAAATGGAGCCCTGAGTGTCCTCTAAACGATGCAATTTGTTTGACCCACCTAGCTTATATACTCCGGCCGCTAGAGGTCGAGAAGGTGGAAAACACCTGTGTGCAGGGCAAAATGACTCAGGGGCATTCTATAGGATTCCCAGCTCCTGGTGGTGGTAGGCGGGTGGTTGATGGTGATAATGGAAGCCCCGAGTGTCCTCTAGGTGATCCACTTGGTTTCATCCCCCGCTCATATACCCCTTAAAGAAACACAAAGGTAAAAGTAGAATTTTGAAATTTCACTTTTTGTGATTGCCACTCACCTGTTCAACCTATATCTGAGATTGATGTTCTAATTAACGTGCACCTGTGCGGCTACATGAATCAATAGTTTGCGCCATCTTAGATCACCCTGTTTAGGCGCTATGCGCAAAAGGGTGACACGTTAAATTCCAAAGTGTTTTGGTGAATTGCCACGCCCTATTGGTGGTAGGCGGTGATTGATGATGCAAATGGAAGCCTGAGTGTCCTCTAACGATGCAATTTGTTTGACCACCTAGCTTATATACTCCGGCCGCTAGAGGTCGCAGAAGGTGGAAAACACCTGTGTGCAGGGCAAATGACTCATGGTGCATTCTATAGGATCCACGCTCCTGGTGGTGGTAGGCGGGTGGTTGATGGTGATAATGGAAGCCCCGAGTGTCCTCTAGGTGATCCCTTGGTTTCATCCCCCGCCCATATACCCCTTAACAGGAAACACAAAAAGGTAAAGTAGAAATTTTGAAATTTTCACTTTTTTGTTGATTGCCACTCACCTGTTCAACCTATATCTGAGATTGATGTCTCTAATTAACGTGCACCTGTGCGGCTACATGAATCAAATAGTTTGCGCCATCTTAGATCACCCTGTTTAGGCGCTAATGGCCGCAAAAGGTGACACGTTAAATTCCAAAGTGTTTTTGGTGAATTGCCACGCCCCATTGGTGGTAGGCGGGTGATTGATGATGCAAATGGAAGCCCTGAGTGTCCTCTAACGATGCAATTTGTTTGACCCACCAGCTTATATACTCCGGCCGCTAGAGGTCGCAGAAGGGTGGAAAACACCTGTGTGCAGGGCAA